TCCTCGACAAGGGTCACATCTGGTCGTGACCAAGTGAGGCCCCGGATCTACACTCACTAGGAGGGTGCGGCGGCACCGAGAGGATTCTCACACAGCCGTCTTCCACCTTCTTCGTCCGGTTCCAGGTACTGACATTCCCCCCTCCCTGCACACATCCTCCACCTTCTCTTGCTTTCTCTGATCCTCCCATTCCGCTTTTGGTTGGGGCGTTCCTGTACTGATCCATATGCATGCGTTAATTTGTAGCTGTGTACGCGACGTGGAGCCTCATCTTCGAGCTGCTTGACCTCAAGGGCGAGGTGGACGACGACACTCTGGTTCTTGTGTGATGTTGCCAACAGCAAGATGTGACGGATAACTTGGTAATCATTACTCCAGTAGTGAATAGTTGATTAGTCAAGCCACTGCTAATCATCTGGTGGCCTTGGACTTGTGATTGTAGATCGTCTGGTGGAGATGCTAATCATCTGGTGGCCTTGGACGTGGAGCCTCCTCTGTTTGTTATTTATTAGGTTTGTACTGGTAGCTTGTTAGTTTTCCCTCGTGTGCTTGAAAACATGCAAGCAGAGAGATAGAGAGGGATTCCTTGATGTAGCAGGCCAGTAGCTACTTTGTCTCAGCTTTTACCTGTCTTTATCCGTATCTTAGTTAGATGCACTACTTCTAGTTCAGCTGATGCCAATAATATCTTACTCATTTTTGTAGATCATCCTCATCCCAAGCAAAATAATAGGTTGACTGAGGCAGTCTTTTTCCGCTGCAACAGCCATGCACAGCTGGTTCTGCCCGGTGGATCCAGTTTCAGTTCCTCCAATTTCCACGTGCTAGCGTTCCAATGTCAAGTACTCCCTCCGTCCCGAAATAAGTGACTCAACTTTGTACTAGCTTTAGTACAAAGTTAGTACAAAGTTGAGTCACTTATTTTCGGACGGAGGGAGTATAATTCTTGAACTGCATAAGCTAAACTCTATTAGTTCCATTATCAACTTGTATATGCAGTCCAAGCCTTCTAAAATGATTGCCTTTACTGTCCATGTCTTCATGTGATTTGTTCTTAAAATGGTTTGCTAGATAGATCCAAACTGTGGTTTTGTGTACAATAGTTTTGCATTGTATGAGCTAAATTCTGTTGTCCATCAGCATGTTTCACTTGTCATTTATGTGGAAGTTTGATGGCAATATTATAAGTTGGGTATGCAATGGTACCTGGAAGGCTACACCGCTTAACCAGCTTGCTGTTAGAATTGTTTCAGTCATTAATTTTTCCTTAACTCAGCTCGTTTAATATCTATGCTAGTATGTGACCTGCGTATAGATATGAGTTACATCCCAGCCATTTTAACTATGATTGGTTGTATTACTTCAGATTTGACGGTGAAAGTGCATTTGTTAACTGTATTCTAATGCTCTCATATGTAAGGAATGCATGGGTTAACTCATCCTTATTGATAGATCCTCTCTTTTAATTAATAATGTATGCATGCCTTGAATGTTCTGTGTTCTTTACTATACTGTTCTGGCCTCGGGCAATTAAACATTTTATCTGTTTTTATTGTGATATGCAACTCTTCAAAAAAAGAAACTGTATTATGGAATTACTCATTTGCATGGAATTTCTATGTATTCTAGTAGTTTATTTTTGATACTGTATTGCTGTATTCCCGATCTGCGTTGGAGCCGATGCTCGATTTGCCTTCTCGCGTGTAGGCGGTCAGGCGAGACAGCAACTAGAGGTTCAGTCTGTTGGAGGAGTATGGCGAGCTGCTGATTCGGGCTAACCAGGGGCACACTATGGTAGTATGTTTTCTGCCTGAACTCCCCTGCACTAATGTATTCTGTTTTTACAAGTAAGATTTAAGATGTGTTTATACTCTTCATGATCATCTGCCATGTAGTAATCGTTATTTTTTGTAACTTCTAAAAGCATTGTGCTAGCTGAATTTGTGTTATCATTCTGAAGAACTTGTCCTTTTTATTGAATGGTCTCTTCATAATATATTGGCTCCAGTTTTCTGATTCTTCTCTCCTGATTCATGTAACAGGGCGACCATATTAGCTCAGTCCTGACTATGGCAGGAGCAGGTGCATTTGTCTGTTTGTAATGCTATCGAAGGAGCTCCATCCTGAAGAATATAGTGCTTGTAGAGCTTGTAAATTAGTTACTCCACTTGTAGAGTTATTTGTAGAGCAGGAGCACCATTGTATTGTGTGTTATTTGTAGAGCAGGAGCTCCATACAGAATCTGGCTCTATACTGAATCTGGTTGTTGTTATTTGAAGTATTATATGTGTATTTTGTCGGTGCCAATTTAAATATTGGTTATTTATTTACTGTCAAAATGAAATGAGGAATATGGCCCTGACAAGTCGGACCCACTTGCTAGAACCTGACAACTTGGACCCACTTATGAGAACATGATAACTGGGATCCATTTGACTAGTGGACCCATGATACATATAAAAAACATGAGAGGCCCAACAAAGAAATGGCCCAGAAAAATACATGATGAAAAAGAAAATATGCTATTAAAAGGGCCACGCAAAGAAATTAATAAGGCTGAATTGTTGGGCCAGACCCATGTAGCTAATAAAAGCACAGGAAAAAAATACAGTAAAAAGGCCGAATTGTTGGGCTAGGCCCATGTAGAAAACTGAATTGGACCGGGCTGAATCTTGTGCCACATCAGCTTGCCACGCTGGATGCCTACGTGGCCTGGAGAGGTTGCTAGTGACCAAAACGCCACAGTGGACATATTTTGGTCATAAACGTTTGCGACCATTCCAGAAGAAAGGTCGCTATAGTCAGTTTACGATGCCCAGCTTTTGACCTTATGTTTTTGGTCACAAAAAGGTCATAAATAGAAATTTGTGACCATTCAGTGACCAATAGTGGTGGTCATAAGTTGACATATTTTTTGTAGTGTCAGGGGGCACATAGTTGTCATCGTACTCTTCTTCTTCGTCGTCTTCCATCATAACCCCTATTTCTCCGTGCCTCGTCCAAAAATTATAGTGTGGCATGAAACCCTTATAAAGCAGGTGGGAGTGAAGGATTTTCCGGTTAGATTAAGACCTCGTATTCCCACATTCAGTGCATGGACAACACATAAAACCATTCTACTTGTTTGCCTCACCGCATCGAGAAACTCATGCACGCCCTTAATGTACTCGCGGGTGTGTCTGTCACCGTACATCCGTTGCCGGTTCATCTGCGTGCATTATATATAATTAAGTGTCCAAATTAATAGAAGTTCATCATCACATTAAAACCAAAGTGCATACATAGTTCTCATCTAACAACATATAGCTCTCCAGAGCATCTAATTAATTAAACCATACATTGAAACTATGTAAAACATTTCAATGCGAAAACAAATGCGATCATAATCGCAACCAAGGTAACAATTGATCCAACGGCATAATGATACCAAGCCTCGGTATGAATGGCATATTTTCTAATCTTTCTAATCTTCAAGCGCATTGCATCCATCTTGATCTTGTGATGATCGACGACATCCGCAACATGCAACTCCAATATCATCTTCTCCTCCGCAATTTTTTTTATTTTTTCCTTCAACAAATTGTTTTCTTCTTCAACTAAATTTAACCTCTCGACAATAGGGTCGGTTGGCATTTCCGATTCACATACATCCTACATAAATAATATCTATGTCACGTTGGTCGGCATAATTTTCATAAACAATAAATGAACCAATAGTTATAAAGATAATATATATACCACATCCGAATCATAGACAGGACGAGGGATGACGGGGGCGGATACCAAAACCATCGCACTATATAAGATGCAATAATAAAAGTAAGAAAATAATACAAGTATCTATGTAAACATACAAGTAAGAATATTTTTCCTTTCAGAAAGAAGATAAGAACAAGACGCTCACCACGGTGGTGCCGGCGATGAGCTCGGCGCGGGTGATCGACGGCGGTGAAGATGGGGACGGGGCGTGACGGACCGCTAAAACTAGACAAATATTATGGAAAATGGAGGTTGGAGGTCGAGCTTGGAGAGGAGAAAGATTAAGTAGTGTAGCTCGAGCATTTCATCGAACACCTTGTGTGCATAGGAGGTGAGCTAGAGCACCACCAAGCCCTCTACCCCTCGACCAGAGAAAAATAGAGCACTGGGGTGTTCTGCTCGCGAGTGAGGGGTATATATAGGCACCTCATTGGTCCCGGTTGGTGACATGAACCAGGACTAAAGGGGAGCCTTTGGTCCCGGTTCAAGCCACCAACTGGGACCAATGATGGTGGGCCAGGAGCGAGGCCCATTGGTCCCGGTTCATCCCACCAACCGGGACCAAAAGGTCTAGATGAACCGGGACCAATGGCCCACGTGGCCCGGCCGGCCCCCTGGGCTCACGAACCGGGACCAATGCCCCCATTGGTCCCGGTTCTGGACTGAACCGGGACTAATGGGATGACCCGGCCTGGACCAAAGCCCTGTTTTCTACTAGTGAATTATAGCCCTTTTCCTAGCCGTGATACCCGTATGAAGGGAGTATTATTTCACAATTGAAAGGAGGAAGACCGAATTGCCTCAATTTATCTTGGATTAAATTAGGTAGTTGTGGTAAATGCTTTTTGAATTTTTCATATCTTTAAGCAGACTTCAAATTTAAAGATCTAATTTGGAGTATTTTGTATGGGAACAATTTGAGATTGTCCGAAATGATTTTCCAAGAGTCCCCAAATTTGGCACTCATGCCCTGGTACCAGAAAATAAAAATGCATATTACACCAGGTGTAAGAAGGGCCATTATATGGACTGCGGATTTTCAGAGGCCGAGCCACAGGCAGGCCGGTATCGTGGGCGTTGGTTTGGGCCTTGGGATGTGCACCCCAGTCAGTGCGTGGCAGGCCTATGGACTGAAATACAGCCTGCGATACGGCTAGTGGATGTGTAGGCGTATTGTGTGCGGCCCATCCAAAGCGTCTGTCCCCGCGCGTCGTTGGCTTGGACCAAGGTTAGGGCCCATGTTAGGTCCTTCGAAACAGCACATGTGAGAGAATCTTGTCAGGCACACCCCCTCGCGCGGCTGGGTTGGCTGGCGTGGGATAAACCACAGCCACGCAGCGGGTCGTCTTCTCCATTCCAATCTGCATCAGTTCGTCTAACAGCGGCGGCCGTGCTGTTCCGGCGCCGGCGAGATGTCTACCAATGGTGTCGAGATTAATGGGTACGTTTTGTTCTCCCTCCGGCCAACCGTCTTTGCTACTAACCGGCACAGATTTGGGGGATTTCTCACCGAGTTGGCTGCTCCCTCAATTCATAGGATTTCTGCTGCGTCCGGTGCGAGGAGCACTTCCGTCTTGCCATTGGAGTCCCAGGATTCCATGAGCGTCCCAAACGACGTGTTCGCTGCCGCCGGTTGTGCTCGGCCGCATGTGGATGCAGTGGTGGGCGAGGTGTGCTCTGAAGCCACCAGCGGCTGGACGCGCAGGTCAGTGAAAATCAATCCCCTCTTTTTTTCTTTGTCTCTTGTTTTGCAATCTTAGATCTCTACCCTAGGCACGTTCTTAGTTACAGAAAGCAGTTGATTGTTTATGAGGCTTTGGGATTTGGTTCCTTGAAGTTTTTGACGGTTGTTTAGTTTGAGAATTTGTTATGCTGATTACTGCTAGCTGTATTGGATTACGTGGTTGGGAGCATTGTGGATCTCAGCTTATTAGTCTAGACGATGCTGGGAGCTGGTCTGTTGATGGTTGAGAAACTGGAAGAGAGAACTATGGGGTTTCCTAAACTGAATTTGTACATGAACCATGGGGATTTTGATTCCTGGAAGCTATTGACGATTGATTAGTTAAAGGACTTGGTCATATTATTCATGGATATATCTGTTGTCGTTGGGGTTCATGAAGGATTCATAATTTATTTAGATGTAGTTTCTCTCCGTATTTGTTAGATTCCCAAGCACCTGATTATTGTAAGTGAACTAGTGGGTTTCATATACTGAATTTGTTCATCAGTCTTTTGTTTTTGGTTCCTGGGAGTTTTCGATGGTTGTTTAGTTTGAGAATTTGTTCTGCTGATTACTCCAAGCTGTATTGGATTACGTAGTTGATTGTTTTTATGTAGATCTCAGGTTATTAGTCTAGATGATGCTGGGAGCTGGTCTGTCGATGGCTGAGAAACTAGAAGAGAGAACTGTGAGGTTTCGTAAACCGATTTTGTACATGAACCATTGGGATTTTGATTCCTGAAAGCTTTTGACGATTGATTAGTTTGAGGAATTGGTCATCTTATTCTTGTGAGCTTTTATTGGGCTACGTAGTTGATTATTTTACGACAGCTTGTTAGTCTGTATGATGCTTGGAGCTTTTCTGTTGACGGTCGAGGAACTTGAGACTGCCTGTGCCGAATATTATACACGCACCAGTCTCCTGCTTAGATCTTTTATGTGACTATTAATGTCATTCCAAAAGGCAATGGTTTTAATTAGTTGTTTTCTTGTGTGTCATCTCCTGCCGAGATGGTTATGCAGGGTCAGGTGGGGTAAAGCTCCCGAGGAGAGGGAGATGAATCCAAACAGGATTTCAGCTCCCGAAGTGTACAAATTGTGGTCTGCTTGGGCATCGACGCAATAACTGTGGCACGAGGAAATCTGGACCTTTTGAACCGAACTTTCTCTAAGGAACTAAATTCATAAGTCGTGCTGTTTCTTTGTCAGGACTGTCTTATTGTGCAATCATCATTGTGTCATTTGCACTCGGTTGACAATTAAAACTGTTTTATTTGGTCTGTTATGATCATTATTGTGTTAGTTTCATTTGAGACGTTGCTTATTTTTTTCGTGCTAGTGTTGGTTTCATTTGAGACACTAAGCTGAAACTTACCCATCATGATGGCTGGTTGAGCTTGCCTTTTGGTTGTGTTTGATTGTGTCCTTTGGTCGGCCTCATGTAACGAGAAACAGTTCAAAGAATACTGATCTCGGTGATCTATGGCTCCCATGTGTACCTAACTCTGAATCCCAAACAAAAACAGTTCCAATAATTCTGATCTCGCTAATTTATGGCTTCCATGTGTACATGACCAAGAATCCTGACAGGTAAGCAAGCAGACGTGCGTGGGTGAACTCCGGATTGACAGGGCCACTATCCTAGCTTTGACTAGGCCCATCCATTACAGCGTGACTCCCGGGTGAGCACGCCTGTTCTGACGGACACAGATGTGCCTGGCGAATGGTACATGCATTGAATGGCCGCGCCCTCTCTCCATTGGGGAATTGCTAACTACAAGAACAGGTATGGCATGCGATGAATTTGGCTGGCCGTGGCATCAGCCTGTGTTTTTCGTTTGCAAAAACACAATCAGTAAGATATGGTAAGCTTTTTTTATTTTCCAATGAGCGATAGAAAAGAAAATACTTACTGCTAAAAAATAGGGGTTAGTCACTTGCCACTGTGCTGTGCGTTTGCGTTGATCGGCTAGTTTGCCTGTTTTCATGGATGGCATGGAGGCGTTGGGGGAGGGGAGCGGTGTCCATGCATAGGAGATGCATGCCATTGGCTGTATGAGTTGACAGGTGATGGAAGCACTGCTCCCGAAATCTTTTCATGCTGGGCATCATGACGCTCCTTTTCTCGCTGCGGGACGCCCGGCAGTTGGTGACAAGATGTGTGCACGGGTACAATGCGCCGTCCATCTGTTCCCGTATTAACGTGCACAGAGACACCGGATCCATCACAGTCACTGTTCCAATCTTCAGGTGACTGCTCACTATTCTCTACTCGATTGATAACCATAGCTGCTTGGATCCCGCTAAATAAGTCAGACATCTTCGCCCTCTACGACTAATCCACCCTTGAATGAAAAACCTAGATAATGGAAGCAAGATCTAAGAACAATGGCGAGCGAGCATTACAATCGAACATTTAAATGCTAGGGGTGTGATTCGGGTGAGTACCTCTTGCCCTACTTGGGATGTTACCCTGCCAGACTGACGGAGAAGGACAAGCCTCGCCGCCGTCGACCAGCTCTACGGCGAGGGGGTTCTTCGTCCGCCTTGGTCCGTCTGGTGGATTCTCCTTGGGCGACGAAGAACAGAGGCCTGTGTTTGCCTTGCCTCTGCCTGAGGTGGGTGGAGGTAGATGACAAGGACGAGGGGTGATGTGAGGGCATAGTAAATTACGTGACGAGACGTCTCAGGGGAAAGCGACCCGGCCTGCACGGATGTGTGCTGTTCCTCGAAACCTGTACCTCGTGTAGATCAGGGCCACTAATTGGGTTGTTTTGGTTAGAGTAAACATACAAACGTGAACATGATGGCGATTCATTTTTCTGTGCGAAAAATCGCTGATCTAACATATGATGCTGCCTAAACTTGTTCCACTTTCTCTAACTTGATGAACAAATGAAAAATGTCGTGGCATGATTGTGATACTGTTTTGTGAATCTGTAATTAGCTAGTAATACTGTCAAAAGTGTCAAGCAAAGTCAAATGGTCGCAACAGTTAAACATGCTTGGTGCCTGGTAACAAACATGTGGGCGAAAAGTGTGTGTTGGCTGGACGATATTGATCCACGTCATCACTTGCTGAACGTGTGGTCGCCCATGTCCAACACTTGTTACGAATCATGCATGCACGCACATCTCCGAACAGGTACCAAACGAAGGCCGCCCATCAAGTACATGTCAGCTTTCCCTCTGAGGGCTAGGTCCCTTCTGCATGTGCGTGGGCCATGGCTGGGCCAATACGGGCCAAAAATAAATCAAATACGTGGTGTATACACTGGCAGCACGGATCCACATGGGAAATCGACGCCCAGAGATAGCGGCCTGCCTGCAGCGCGGCCGCTATTGGCATTTTTCGCATTATATGTCATATCTATTAAGCCAAATAATTTCACATCCTGATTAAATTATTCATTTGATGCTGACTAGCTTGATGATGGCTGCGTGTTTGGAAGGAATTTAGCTGACATGACTGAGCACGAAGCTGTTCATTATTGAAATAGATTCTCAAAGCAGCCAACATGATCAAGCAGATGGAGATTGATCAATCCCCGGCAGCATCCATCACTAGCGAAATCAAGAGTTTACTCGCGCGGGGTAGACATTTTTTTTATCGGTCATGTGCTCCATGCCTGTAATAGTGTTGCATATTGTTAGGTTAGATAGGGCATCATCACATGCATAGGCAGTATGGACCAAATGAGATTGGTTTGCTACACCAACACGATTGTAATGCCCCAGGTTAAGCAATAAAAATCTAATTTTTCCGCAAGAAAACAATATCATTTAATTCACCCATGGGTAAAACCGTCTTCCAAGGAAAGGAAGACACAAAAGCTTCAATTTGACTCCATATTTTCCTACTTCTAAAGTGATAAGGAATAATTGACGATCAGCATAAAACACAAACTAAGAAAATGCAGAAGTTACAGCTAGTATTATTAGGAGTACATTTTAAGTAGAGTAATTAGCTTGACATCATCCGACCATAAGACCCAAAGACCACCATCTCGGTGTTCCACAGGTGCAACAAATTAAAATTATCATCTATATGAAAATGATTGGCTAAATCCTCTTCAGTTCTAGCATATCAGATTCACGGGTGCAGGATTGGCTCGATGACAAGTTTTTTCAGAACGAAAAGGTGCCATAGCACCCGGGTGTCCCAACATCCCGCTATCCGGTGTGTCCAGCGTCTTTAAGATACGTTATGAGGACTAGACAGCAGGAGGCCATATCATCTGACCGCATGTTAATTAAGCACTCATTTTACAGTGTAGTACAGGACCGATCGTAGGCTGCAGGAGACAGGACAGCACCGTGTTAGCCTGGCACGGAGGTCAGGCCCTGCTGCTGTCGGTGAAAGGACAACTCATGGGTGCATGCGGTGGAAACTCATGGGTGCATGCGGTGGATAACACTACTGAGGCAGGCCCAGGGCTGGCGTCCCTGAGTCTTTCCATGCATGGTCGGCGCCCCGTAACCGATCTGATTTATTCTTCCACCCGAAGAATTATGGTAAATTATCGACGGTATATACGAGTGATTGATTTGTCAATTGTTCCACCGCTGGGATGTGTCTATGGCTGTCATGACGCATGCAAGCTTCCTCGCCACCACACAACACGCTCCAAATTGACTACCAGATCAGGCCTGAAAGCTGCTCTCAGATCAATCCCGGGAGATCGAACTGGATCCTCCCTTCTAATCATCTCCCGCCCGGTCCGAGCCTGAGACCATCAGCAAAGGACGACCGAACGAGATCCAGCCCTCCAAGCCAGGAAGTAACACATTACTACGATACAAAAGCAATTCAATCAACTATGATTTCTTCTTATGGCAGAGATTCAGCGTTTACAACCAAGCGAGATATCGATTCGCGACCCATCTCCGGCGAGAGGACAGACACACCCCGGCGAGAGAACTGCA